ACTAAAATTTAATTCCAAGCTTTCTAGTGTCTAAAACAAAGAGAAGAGACACATTCATACACATAATCAGCATTAGTAATAACTTTTGAAAGTATGCAATGCTTCAGTACTTTGGTCTGATAAGAATTTGTCATGTGAGTCTTCATATGAAGTACACTGACTGGTAATAGTGACTGACATGTGCAATTGTATGTGTTTTTTAAATAGTCTTTTGTTATAGCATATTCACTGAGGGCTTTAAACTCAATTGCTGTTCATTTCAGAAGTGGTAGAAGGAAAATGACTGTACTCTAAAGGCACATTTTTATGGGAATCTGAACTAGTTCAAAGATATATCTTGATTCTCTAGACTGGAGGACGGAATATGTTAACCAAAAACTCCTGTTTACCCCCTCACCACTTCTCCCAGATGTTTTGATTGGAAGTTGAACAGCAAGCAGTTAACATTCATTTTTTTTTTTTTGGCATAAACTTAGGGAGCAGTTTTTCTGTGTCACCGATTAAGGTCTGACTCATAGGAATGGGAGGTTCATAGTGTCTTGTGAAAACTGAGTTGTGCTACCAAGACTGTATTTTATCAGAAGTCTGTTCTACCTGGGAAGAAAGATGGGCTGAGAGAGCACTGTGGCCTGAAACAGGACTTTCTAGCCTTTTCTTGTCACATTTTAGTTTTTATCTGGTCTTCAAATAGAATGTTCTGCATATACTCTGCTTAGATGAACCCCATGGCTATGTACTGTGTGTTTACTTACAAACAGTCCATACAGTTCAAATCACTTCTGAGGAAGGATAAATTAAAAAGTAAATGTGGAGTTTACAGTGGACTTTATGTCAGTGTGTTCTGGTAACATATCAAGCCTGTCATTACAAAGGTAAGTTAGAGGAGAGATATTAAATATCATTCATGCTCCTGTTCCAAATCTTTTTCTTGCAAAGTCCAGAAACTGTTTTTCCAGTACTGGAAGACGTGACCCAATAAAGCTGAAGTCTTGAGAACATCCCCCTCTCTTCAAAGAAATGTTCTTGGAGGGTGGCCTGGATTGTTTTCTTTTAAGATTTTCTAGAGTGAACAGATGTAACAATTTTCTTTAATTTGCCTTGGTGCAGATGCTGAAAGAGAGCATTCACAATAAAATATATGCAGTATATGTAATTTCAGCTGGATGTTCTGGGGTTTTAACGT